GGGATCCGTTCCGGCTGCGCCGTCTCAGTATACAGCGAGCTGTAGCTCGCGATATACTGAGCTTTGGGTCACAGGAGAACGCTAGTTTGTGTTCTCCCGTGACCCTTAGGAGAACTATGGGGAAAAGCCCTGACCCCATAATTCTCCTTTAAATACTAGCCCACTAAATTTTCATCCCCATGTTAAAAAAAGAAATAACCGGTTGAGAAAAGTTAACATAAAAACCTAACTGGTTACCTGGCTTCTGCCCGCAGTGCCTAGGCGAAGGTGACATCCCCATCCTTCCAGTAAGATCCTGAGGACACCACACTGTGTTGAAGTGTCTTCTTGGGAGGGACACTCAACCAGAAGGATGGTGACATCACCCTTTTCAGTGCAGAGGTTGGGGTAAGGTAAGTAGATTGTTAAAATTACCTTTACAGAGTTTTTTTTCATGTGGCTTGCAGTGTTTTGATATATTGGGTGGGCTAGTATTCAATAAGCCGACGTTGCCGAACTTGTCTATTTTTTGTGTGTGTTGAGGTGCACTGCCTTCATAATGAATAGGCTGCCTCAGCACATTCAGATGCAAACAGTACCTGATACCCGGCGCTTGTGGCAGCTGATGGATCAACTTTCTCACCATAAACTATCTACGTACTGTACACCGTGCTGCTCCCTCACAAGGACTAGGGAACCTTCACTAGGAATTCTAGAACAAAATGCCAAGAGCGCCCCGACATGTGCAGAATCGTTTTATTATCAAATTAAAAAAAACAAAAAAACAGGTAAAACACACACATAAGAAGTGCAGCAACACGCGCTTATGCATTCTCCTTCCATCAGAATGTAGGAAGTGTTCAGCCCGTGACACACCGCATGCAAAGCCGTGCGGAGCAAAGCCGTCAGGCACTGAGGTTTGGACGCAGTGTGTGAGCCGAGCGCGGCCAGATGAAAGACGGCATCTTCAGCCAAACAGCTCGCAAGTAACAAGCGGCTGGACTTCGCATTGCGATGCGTGAGTTGATACGCAAGAGCTGATTGGTAGATGACATTTTTCATCTCGGCACACTCCGCTATGCACGCTCTCGCAAGCTGACGTGCCGGAGTGAAAAAGACATGACACAGTGCACTCAAAGGCAGGGCGCCAACGCTCCGCGCTGGAGTGCGTCACAGCCTTTACCCGTATTCAGGCGATTCACATAGAAGACGCCAATCCGCTCATATTGTTAAAATTACCCTTACAGGGCTTTTTTTAAATGTGGTTTGTAGTGTTTTGACATGTTGGGGTGGGCTAGTATTCAATAAGTCCACGTTTCCAAAATCTGGAGCAGCCGTGCGGGGCAAACAATCAGATTCTCTCTTTCATTTTCAAATCTTAACTAAACAAACTGAAGAGAGAAGCTGATTGGTTGCCACTGGCAACTGCTCCAGATTTTGCCTGCTCCACTTTTGATAAATTCCCCCCAATGTGTTTGTAGTGTGAATGGGCCGGTAGGCTTCTGTTGCTGACCCACACCTAGCAATGGTTATACAGCAGTGCCAAAAGGGAGCAAATACAGGAGGTAATAAATGGCCAGAAGGCTTAAAGTTTACTTGTCAGGAGATAAATATGGGGGCTGCCATTGTTTATTTCAGCAGTCCTATAAGTCCTAATCTGAATACTTGTTCCGGGTCGGTGGCTCAAAGAAGTAAAGCCAGCAGATCTGCACTACAGCCAAACAGTATGATCAGAAAGCAGAGCAGCCTCCATCACCCTCTGGCAGGTTTAATATTCAATCCCAACTCCATCGAAATTGTTTTTTTCATGTTTTGCACCATGGGGGAAGAACCTCTGTTGGGCTTTCATTGCCGTTTCTGTAGTCATTGTCCTTCACTACTGCGTGATAACAGACAGGAAGTGAGATAAATCTCTTCAAGGAAGTGGGGCATAATCATTACTCACTGGGAGATGTTGCAGTATTCTAACCCTAACCATATCTGGTGTTTGGCTACATACCCTCAATACACGGATGTGAGGTGCCAGATACACGTATTACCTTGGAGTCCAACTGTACCGAAGACACAAGACTACTCCAGATACGGAACAATTACTACACCAGCCATGGACTGTTTTAAACCATTGTTTATTAATATAATTTTCTTCGGTGCTCTGTTCAGTTTGATTCCAGACATCTCAAATATTTACAGAATAAACCCGCTCGTAGCAAACACTAGACGTAAAGCAGCACATTGAAGTCAGGACCCACCTGACATTTGAGCATATGCAGTTCTGTTACACTTAAACTTCCACAAAGTGCCCAACAAATGGGGTGGTGAAGCGGGGGCCTCATTCTAAAACACGTTCAAGCAGAACTGTGTGTGCGTGTAATCCCTATAACCTTCACTTATGATTAAACATTCCGATTCCTACTGGTTTCATTCTGAATTGAACTGTTGGTGTGATGCAAGTATGCAAGAAGAAAAAGAAGGAGCTGTGGGATTCTGGCCGTGTAGTGAGGTCATGACTTATACAACACGTTCTTTTGAAGCTGCACCATACATGACCTGATTTCCCCCAACAACATCCCCAATCCAAGCACTGCTGGAGATGGGTGGTGGTGAAGTCAGTGAGGTAGACCAGAGCTTTTAAAGCATCTTGCAGCACTTGGCACTGATGGCCTTATTAATGTTGCCTGTAGGTTCACTGATCTGTAGCAAGCCTTCAAGCTGACTGTTAAGCCCAACACAATGCTGGTGATGTGCCAAATGTTGGGAACAATAATGAGGTCAGTCACAACTGTGCTAAACCAGCCCGATGACATTCTCAAAGCAATGTGCTACCTTTTACCCAATCCATTTCCAAATCTACATGTCAGCTTTCCTCCTCTGTAGATCACATGAGTACCACCAAAACCTGCACCTATAATGCAACTGGCTTTGGCCCTCAGCCCCTCCTTCCAACTCCACCTTCTTACTATCTCATGTCTATGTGCTCCAGAAGAATGAGATTTGGGGGTTTTAAGACACTCTACAGAGAAGCAGTTTTTTTGTTGCATCAGTTCACAGGTTTGTTGCAAGAGATGGAGAGAGCAGCAGTATACATCATACTGCCGTCTATTGAGAACTCGCTGTGAATATATGAAACTACGGGCATAGAATTCACAGCTGTGACCAGGCCTCAACACTGGGGGGCGAAGGGGGGGGGCTATAGCTTGGTTCTATGCAAAAGCTGCCCTATAGTTAGGGTAGGTGCAGGTCTAGCCAAGAAGAAACACATGGCAAAACTGTGCAGGGAAGTTATAGGACTGGTGCAGAATGCAGTACATGTTATATGTCCCCTGTGCCTGGTCATGTGATCGGATATGTAGTGCTGAACGCTTTAAGCTAGCTGTTGCAAATTGCTCACAGCACACCATCGGGATAAAAAACTGGCAGGAAAGTAAGAAAAAAATCAGACAAACAACCCTTTTCTATAACTCTAAAGTGCAATCACCCCTAACAACCTATGAAGACAAGGAGGATATGAATCCTTAGTCAGTACTCTATGTGGAACCGGGTGAACACTGGTGTTATTTCAGCTTATGTAGAGTCAAGTGCTTATAGTGATACTCAGTATCCATATAGACTGCAGTATGCCCAAAGCCAGGGGGGAGAGATTGTTTCTCCGCCCAATTAAAAAACATAAAATAAAATAAAAAGGTAACTGCTGCCTCGAGAAGGTTATATTAATAATAAGCAACCAAAAAAAATCACTGCAAACAAAAATACAGAACAAAACTTTTGACAAAATAGGATTTGTCTACACATCATATATATATATATATATCTTTGACCTTAAACTGACAGACGCGTATTTACAAAAATATTCTCTCTTTTAAAACTTAACCCAGCAAAACATCCGCCAATCATCATGCAAAATTCACATCAGATACAACAGAATGAAACTTGTCGGAGGGCAGCCCGTTGCCAGAACCTTCATTGAGTCCATTGTGATTTGGTGGTAGGGTCTGGGACAGAAGAAAACAGATCAATCCAGGCTAAAGTAAGAGCAATGGAGTACAAGACATCTTTGGTGAGATGGTATGGACCAGTCTGATCTCTTGATGCCATGAGGTTACATTCAAAGAACACAGGCCATGATCACTCAAACATGGAGATACCACTGGTGGAGACCAACATGAGGCAAACACGTTGATGTATCTTTTCCGGTCTTGTAAGCTTTGGCTGGAGATATTCCACCAAATCCATGATAAACAAACCTCAAAAGTATCATTTTTATAGCAAAGTGCAGCAGATAAGATCAGGCATCTCAGTCCAGTCCATCGTTTTTTTTTTTTTGCCATAGCCCGTCCCAAAACTCTCTTCAGCTTTTCTCTGATTAGAGGAAAAGTAAGTGTACACCCACCCGTCACCATCGTAAAGCTTGGCCGTCCACAAGGAGGTCATCTTGAAACCCTATCGTGACACCTTCCACTAGTGTCGTATAAACATTATACATAAAAAAAAAATTCATGCTCGATGCATGGTCAAGCATGTATGTACATGAAGGTCGGTGAAGACTCACACACTCACGCACATACGCACTTGCAGTCACACATATATAACACTTAAAAGTGCTGGTATCTGAGTGAATTTGTGCATAACGCCTGTGCAAAATTCACAATGCCAATTCAACAATTCTACTTAAAACAAAAACAAACAAAAAAAAGGTCAAACTGGTTAAAATAGCTTAAATTCCAGGGCTACAAAGAAGAGGGACACTTTTGGTTGATCTGTAGACAAAGCCATTGCTTTATGCAGTGACACAACAGTTGAGTCCTTTATTGTTTTCATCTTGAAAAACAAAAAGTTGCAAACACAGGTCTATCACACTGGCCTTCCGGAGTCATGCCCCTAGTCTGCCGCGGCAGAGCCAGCTCGGTTCAAGAAAGTTATTTTTAAAAAGTATTGCAAGGTTCATAAGAGACGAAGAAATGTTAATATACATAACTGGCCCCCTCACCGTTGTTTAAATCCTGTCCAGGATGTCTGTGATCCTAGGAACTCGGTATTCGGTTCATCGGAGATAGAAGGGATTTTAAAAAAACATCATCATCAACGTTCAGACCCAGAGCACTGTGACAAGCTGGTGGCAAGCATGGAGGAGCGTCTTTGGGGTATTCCAGTTACAGAAACGAAGACTCGCCCAGCTTTGTGTCCACCGCATTCCACTTTGGTTGGTTTTCCAAAGTAACACAAAATTGAAACCGTACTAATAAAGCCCTACAATTCCTCGGTCGGAGAACAAGAGCGTCGCCTCTCTAATGTTCAGCGTCCATGGCGTCCAGATATTTTGACTCGATAATCTTCGGTAGTAGGTTGTATCTGAGGAAGGAAAAACAAAACCAAATAGTTCAGCCAAAATTTGCCACTCTAAGGTATGGTTTGAGATTTTAACCTCTTCTTGACCAGAGGTCATTAAAGCCGAGATGCCCAGATCAAATTTAGCTGCGTCACTATGCGTTATTAGCTTGACAATAACTCGGACTAATTTGCCCATTTGCAAAACTTTGACTTTTTTTTGGGCATAACACTTTTTTTTTTAACAAAACAGCAAATTAAAATGTTTTTTTATAGCATGTTTAATATATATATAACATGCTATAAAAAAACATTTTAATTTACTGTTTTGTTAAAAAAAAGTGTTATGCCCAAAGAAAGTATAT